AGAAGTCCCGCGGTTGGAGCAGGCCGCCGAGCTCCAGCAAAGTCGCTGTTTTGTCCATAGGGACAGTGGGAGACATCCCCAATGACACCTAGTCCCCACCTGAACCAGTGAGCGCTCATGTCACAGCGTCTCGGTTCCTGGGTATTGACAGCAAACAAAAAGGATTGGGAGGTAGGGGTGCGACTCAGCAGCCCCGTGCAAGTCCGCCGGTGCGAGGGAGAGGAAGGAGGAGGCCGGCCGTGAGCAGAGGCTGAGGGCTCTTCCGTCCACCGGGACCTGAGCGCCTCCTGCAGGATCCCCGTCTCCGGTGACGGGAGGGGAGTTTGGGCTAGAGGGCCCACTGGCCGGGTTTCTTTGGGTCCTTCCAGGCAAAGAGAAGCCTTTTGAATCATTATGAAAAGGAGTGAGATGCCGGTGTGAACTGAAAGCTGCCCTGAGGCGGCGAGCAGCTGGAGCGCTGGAGCGAGTGCCTCCCACACGGAGGGCGTGTCCACGCGTCCCTCTCGGGGTGAGGGGCTGCCCGGTGAAGCTGACGGCTCTCCCGCCAGCGTTGAGATGCCTTTGCTGGACGTGAGTCAAGATCATGCTGGGTTGTGTTGTCTTCAAAGTACAGCACTAAGGCTTCCTTTGCTTCAGGTAACCCCATTTTTTAGTTGTTTTTTAATTGTGAAAATATGTAGAAAACATAAATTTACCATTTTAACCATTAATAAGTGTACAGTTCAGTGGCACTAGGTTCATTCACATTGTTGTGTAGCCAACACCACCGTCATCTCCAGAACTTCTTTTATCACCTGCAACTGAAACTCTGACCAAGATGCCTGAGGCAACCAAGAAATGGACACAGTGTGTGAACCGGCAGGTTTTGTTGTTGTTGTTGTTGCTTTTAAATATGTTTTACTGATTTTTACAGAGAGGAAGGGAGAGGGATAGAGAGTTAGAAACATCGATGAGAGAGACACATCGATCAGCCGCCTCCTGAACACCCCCTACTGGGGATGTGCCCGCAACCAAGGTACATGCCCTTGACCGGAATCAAACCCGGGACCCTTCAGTCCGCAGGCCGATGCTCTATCCACTGAGCCATACCGGTCAGGGCGGAACTGGCAGTTTTTAGGGTGCTGGGAGTTATGCAATAGTTCAGTGACTCCTGAGAGGTCAGAAGCCAGTGGACCGAACCTAACAATCACCTCTTCCTACTGCTGTCACAGTTTCCAGGCCACAATGCAGAGGGGAGTCCAAGCAGGGCCTGGCGTTGAGGAAATAAAACTGAGAATGCAGGGAGACCAAGGCAGCTCGCAGTCCCAAATCAGGCCGGTCCTAAGGAAGGTTTCAGAGATCTGCAGGTTCCCATGAGTAGAGGTAACACTAGCCACAGTTGCACCAGGTAGGGATCAGCACCTGACCCACCAGCAGACCGGGAGCCTAGTGTCCAGTACAGAGAAGATCTTGCTTCAACCGTGGGGAGTAACTAGCTTCTGACCCCAGCTAACAAATCAAAGAAAACTTTGGAGAGATCAAACTGTTCCTAGTGACTGTGTCCTAGAACAAAGCTAAACAATCCTATCTAATAAAAGAGTAATATGCAAATTAACCATCACTTCGCAATAAAGATGGCGGTGCCCACAGCCAATAAGAAGGGAATATTCAAATTGACGCGACAAAGATAGCAGTGCCAGCTGGAGCCACGGACCCAGCCAGAGAGCGGGTGAGAAGGCCTGGTTATCCTGGGTTGCCCCCAAAGGGCAGAAAGCTGTCCTTTAAAAATTTCTAGGTGAAGCCATCTCTTGATACTGGATAGAGTCACACCGTGTTCCATTTCAAACTGACTAGGAGCTATTTCCTTTTGCATTGGGAGCTGACATCCCTTCAATTAAAGAAAGACTATGTCAGAACAGTCTGCTATAGATAAGAAGCCAGTGCACAAAAGGGAAACAGAAGTGCTGGCAGTTCCTTAGCAATGGTTCTAAACCTTATCAAATCCAAAGCCACCTATGTATAAATAAGCACGTATTTCTCTTTTCATAAACCTGAAATAAAATTTCATTGAAATACAATCTACACAGAAAATATATACCTTAATCATCCTATATAATAAAAGGTTAATATGCAAATCGACTGAACGGCAGAGCTATGGGCCACTATGATGCACACTGACCACCAGGGGGCAGATGCTCAACGCAGGAGCTGCCCCCTGTGGTCAGTGTGCTCCCACAAGGGGAGTGCAGCTCAGCCAGAAACCAGGCTCATGGCTGGCAAGCACAGCGGAGCACTAAGGATATCTGACTAAGCTGACAGACATCTCCCAAGGGCTCCGGGACTGCAAGAGGGCGCAGGACTCCCCCATCCCGCTCAGTGCATGAATTTCATGCACTGGAGCTCTAGTATTTAATATAAGAATACAAAATTTTCAGCACTCAACAAGATAAAATTCAGTGTCTGCCATCCAATCTAAAATTGTCGAGCATACAAAGAAGGAGGAAATACAACGAATAATGAGAAAAATCAATCCGTTGAAAGTAACCCAGAGCCCTAGCTGGTTTGGCTCAGTAGATAGAGTGTTGGCCTGCGGACTAAAGGGTCCCGAGTTCAATTCTGGTCAAGGGCACATGCCCGGGATGTGCGCTTGATCCCCAGTAAGGGGTATGTAGGAGGCAGCCGTTCAATGACTCTCATCATTGATGGTTCTTTCTCTCCCTCTCTTTTCCTCTCTGAAATCAATAAAAATATTTTTTTTTAAAAAGAGAAAGTGACCCAGAGCTGACATAGATCTTAACATTAGTAGACACAGACCTTAAACCTGTACAGCATGCTACCATACTGAATGCTCTAGGCAACCGTAACACAATGGTAATTATTTATATGCCTAAACATAGAAGAGGCACAGTAAAAATATGGCATAAAAGATAAAAAAGGTGCACCTGTACCGGGCACTTGCCAGGAATGGAGTTTGCAGGGCTAGACGTTGCTCTGGAGGAGCCAAGGGTGAGTGGGGGTGATATGAGGCCTGCATCCCCCTGGGCACTTTATAAATGCTGTGCTCTTAGGCTACAGTCAACATATTTTTTTAATTCTTAAGTCGTAAAGTAACCTTAGCTTTAACTTTTTTACTTCAGAAACTCTAACTCTTTTATAATAACACTTAGCTTAAAATAAACACATTCTATAGCTGTACAAAAATATTCTTTATATTATTCTATCTTAAAATTTTTAATTTCTTCATTTTAAACTTTTTTTGGTAAAAACTAATATACAAACACACACATTAGCCGAGGCCTGCACAGGGTCAGGATCATCACTATCCCCGGCCCCCACTCCATGTCCTGTCCCCTCTGGGTCTTCGGGGCAACAACACTGTGAGCTGCCCTCTCCTGTGACAACACGCCTTCTGCTGGAGCACCCCCGGGCTCTTTCTGAGGGTCACTCTTCAGAAAGCTGTCCCTGGTGGTTGGCTTGGTTTCTTTTTTCCATCGTAGACGTGCTTGTAGGCACAGGAGCACCCCTCCCTGTGAATGAAACCTTTCAGTGTGGGCTCGTGTGTTAAGGAGCTGGTTGAGGTCTGCAAATGCTCTGCGAAGCCCTTTGCTGAGTTTTCTTGGTGGTTCCTCTTTTTCTTCTCCTGCAGTTTCCTTTTCTCTTGCCTCTTCTTCAGCTCTGCCTGCTGTTCCAGGTCCAGCAGCTCCTCAGTCGTCAGTCCCCAGAACTCCTTGTGCCACCCTCCTCCACCCAGCTTGGAGGTGCTGGCCATCTCAGCCACAGGCTGGTGGTTTTTGCGACCTCCTCATCCTTGGCAAATCCTTTGAAGTCACAGGCTGCGACATCACTAGGTGACAGGGAGTTTCAGTTCCATCTTAGTCTATGGGACCACGCTGCACATGTGGTCCGCCATTGAACGGAACATAACGATGTGGTGCATGACCATAAGCCAGCAATGAACAATTGGAATTTGACGTTAAAAACACAATAGCATTTACATTAGCATCAAAAAAGGAAATACTTAGGCATACGTCTAACAAAGTACAAGATCTGTATAAAAAAAACTACAAAATCCTGATGAAAGAAATCAAAGATCTAAATAAATGCACAGATATTCCATGTCCACCAATAGGAAGACTCAATGTAGTTAAAATGTCAGTTCTTCCCAATTGGATCTGTAGATTCAATGCAGTCCAATCAAAATTCTAGCAAGTTGTTTTATGGACATCAACAGAATGATTCTAAAGTAATGTGGAGAGGAAAAAACACAGTAGCCAACACAACATTGAAGAAGAACAAAGCTGGAAGACTGACACACCCAACTTCAAGACTTACTGTAAAATTATGGTGATCAAGACAGTGTGGTACTGGTGAAAAACACAGACAAATAGATCAATAGAACAGAACAGAGAGCCCAGAAATAGACCCCAACAAAAACAGTTAACTGATGACTGACAAAGGAGTAAAGACAACACAATGGAGAAAGGACAGTCTCTTCAGCAATCGGTACTTGCACAACTGGACATCCACACGTGCAAAAACGAGTCTAGACACAAACCTCACAATGTTCACATGGAAGTTCTAGAAAATAACATAGAGAATGTAGCTGACCTTGGGCGTGGCAATGATATTTTACATACAACACCAAACATGATCCATAAAAAAAAAGATGGGCTTTAGTTAATAATGTATCAATCTTGGCACATGAATTATAACAATGTACCACACTAATGCAAGCTGCTGATAATAGGACTACTACCACTGCAACTTTTCTGCAATCTTAAAACTACTCTCAAAAATACAGACTGTTACTTTTTTAATCTTCAGCTGAGGATTTTTTTTCATTGCTTTCTCAGAGAGTAGAAGGGAGGGTGGGAGAGGGAGAGAGAGAGAGAAGCATCAATGTGAGAGAGACACCAACTGAGCGTGCCCTAACGGAACTGAGCCCCTTCCATGTGCGGGCCAACACGACACTCTAACCATTGATTAACCCAGCCAGGGCTAGACTATTACTTCTTTGAAATGATAAAATAAAAGCTAGAAGAAGAAGCAGACTCGCACAATATGACGTGATAAAGGAAGGACAGCCACGTGGGGAAGGTACGTATGAGTTACATGTCTGTACAGTAGTTTTTCCTTTGCCCGCCTGTCCTGGCTGAAGACACCACTTGTTTTATTTGCCACAGTGCTGTCAAGGATCTCCTTGGCAGTTACAGTCACCACGATGTTTTATCAGCTCGCTCAGACAGTGACCAGGAAGCTGAGTCAGGGCTGCAGATGGGGGCTCCTCCAGCTGGTGGAGTGGAGCTAGACAAACGGGGGCGGGGCGGGGGGGCGGGGTTCCTCCCTTGCTCCCGTCAGCCAGGAAGCGCTGCTAAGGCCGTCCTCACTGCCTTTTGCAGAGGAAGTGGGAGGGTGGGTGGCAGCTCCGCCCCACCCCACTTCCTGACAGCTCCACGGGGAGGAAGGTCTCGTGCCCACTCTCTTGGTGTCCTGGGTCTCTGAGTGAGATCCTTGCCGGCAGATGAATGAAAC